AAAACCAAAACGCTGGCAAAACGTTAAAACTAATAGCTATTGTTCCCAAATGGACACTAAAAATCTATGGTTGTTCTTCATAATAATTCTATAAAAGCGGTATCATTGGTATGTGAAGCTCTATGCGTTGTTTGGTTTTGTCACTTTGTGCATATTTTTGTGTCGTTTTTGCGAAAATGGAATGTGTAAAGTTGATTATGAGGCCGAGGGAGTATTGAAGTGTAAGTTTACACATTATCAAGTGAACAGATGCTGGGATATACTTCCCCTTTGGCCGTTCTAAAATGAAGTTCTCGGAATGGATGATATTTTATCTTGGGAATACAAGTGTGACAAATATTTAGGGACGGAGGGAGTATATAATTTCATGTTTTCTTAATTTCCGTGAAATAGAAAATGAGAGCTTTATTTTGGAATTGAGGAAGTGTCCACCTTAAAACTGCTTCCATTGTACACCGGATATATTCTATCAATATCTACTCTTATTTTGATAATTTTTTAGAAGCATTGAGAAGAATATTATTTTTTAAATATGATAGACATCAAATGTTATCATAAATTTTTCCCAACTCAATACACAAATATTACTGTAATAATTTAAAAATTTTATTTCGTTAATAGTTGTGTTTCTAATCCTTAAAGTATTTGCATCAGCTATTTAAATATGAGATAAAAATGATAATTTACTTCAATATGTTTGGTGTGTTTATGAAATGTTGGATTCTGGGCAATTTGTAACATTGCTTGGTGGTTACAAAAAAAAAATCAAATTGGTTGTTTGTGTGCGACTTCCATAGAAGCAAGATGGCTATTTTATTTAGTCATTTCAGTTTACTCACAACAAATGTCATGACACAGATATTGTTTCAGGGGGCTTTTGGTTCGGGGGTAAGGGAAATGGGAAACGGAAAGGGATTTCCCGATTCTGTTTGTTGTCGTTTTGTTTAAAAAAAAAGTTCATTCCGTTTCTCCATTTTTTAGTTTTGGATTACCCCGTTTCGCGTCTTTCGATTCCCTACTCCCTATCGGGTTTCCCACTCCCCTCGTTTCTGTTTTTTCCTAAGCCTTCTTCCCCTTCCCTGACTCTTCTTCCCCGTCCATTACGGAACAGAACTTATTCCAATCAGATCAAAATCGGATCTTATTCCAACGCAGTTGCTAGGAATCAAACTCGGATCTTATCTCCATGGCAGTCCTTACCTTTGCCAACTGCGCAACGTCCACCGGCACAAATTATGATTCTAAAGTAACATACTGGAGTAGATGACTAAGATGAAGTTAGACTCGCAACAAAGAAACAAAAGTTGAAAACATGCACATACAAAGTTAAAATATAACAAAGGAAAGATTAATGATTAATTAAATATTCTACCATTTTTGTTGTAACAATCCGGTTCATGATTTTTTGTTCACATTTTCTGAGAACTAGTATCATACCATTTTGAAAACGAGACAATTCAGTGCCATGCCGGTTTGTTTCAGAATC